ACCAGTGCTAGCAAAAATAAAAATACGAAGGAACGAAGCGTACTGAATAATAGACAATTAGACTATCACATCGGCGTCACTAACCGTCTCGCTTTCTTTAATACAAAATGTCAGTCTCTATCCCACTCTATTGTACTTTGAACAGCATCACTCTCTATTTCACTCTATAACATCTGCCTGTCTCACTTGCAGAATAATAAAGCAAATCCTTTTGCACACAAAAGAACTTTTCAGGTAAAAAAGTTTATTTGAAATTAAGTCTTTTTGGTAAAAATGCAATAATATTTTTTATGGAAAAATAAGTAGCAAGTGTTGTACTATTTTGAAATCTTAATTAAATTGGCAATTTTTAAAAACAACTTGCCTATGGTGGTATAATACGTTTATTGAAAGACAAGGCATCAAAATTATGTGTCAAAACGTTTTTAACCATGACTTAAATTTAATTTTTTGTTCCAAATTATTAATTATTGGATTTGTGACTGCAATCAATATCATAGTTATTTAGGATTAGGGGAGATGCGTGTAATACGATCCCTTGAGGTAAAATGATCCCCCACTGTATAAGAGTGACTACCAGCGACATACATCCAAATACGCAACAAACGTCATCTTTGCAACCCCGCCAGTTGCCTCTCCGAATGTCAAGGCGATGTGAGCTCTTAACGTGATTTTATTAGAAAAAAATTAAAAAACGTGCTTCGAATCTATGGTCAGCCTAATTTTGAATTTCACTACTTTCAGCATGTTAAGATTTATTGAAATGTTGTTTTATTGATGCATTCAATTACATTTCAGCTATATTTAAGCAATGTTTGAATACCTCACGTTGAATTTGAAGGTTATATTTTGATCGATGTCTTAATATTTGGTTTTTGAGGTGAAATGATCCCTCTTCGTACGTATAAAACGATCCCTGGAATCATATTACCCCATTAGTATTTTTAAAATATGTATGTATGTATTTATGTATGTATGTATAGATGTATGTATGTATGTATGTTAGGGTCAAATCTTGCAATTTGACCCACTTCTCGGTGTCTATTTGAGCTGAAATTTTGAATAATTATGTAAGTCCGGTGACAATGCAATATTATGACACCATCGATCTGATCTGATAATGGAGCAAGGGTGTAGAGGCAAGAACTTCTTGATGGCAAATGGGTAGGACAGTTAAGTTTGGATTAAATTTCAGCTATCACCACAAGCAAATATGCGGGAATCTTCGGATCGGACACTTCAACCTTCGACGCAAGAATTCATTCAAAAATCTCCACAAGTGCCACAGTCGTCAGCACTTACTTTTACAAGAATCTCTACCTGCAACGCCTCAGAATCAAGACATGTGTGTAGCACAAGTGTAGCCCCGCAAGGTTTTCTTAGTGAGAGGCAATCGTCCTCATCCAAAAAGTCAGTTCGTAGTCCTCTATCTCCAATTTTGACCACAACACTTGAATCTAATGCAAACGTGTCTCCAGCAATGGTTGTTGACCTTCCATTCACATCTTTTGCGGTCTTAACACCGGGGCAAATCCAACCATTGAAAAAAATCGTAGCAAAAAGAAATAATTTAAGGCGAGTAAAAGTAGAGACGTCTGTACTAACTGCTCTCTAGGTAGTTTTTGTAGGGTGTACTGCCCTACAAAAAGTAACTAGAGAAAGAAACAAAAAAACAGATAAAGAACAAAAGAAAGCCAATAAAAAAATAAATTAAATAAAAAAAAACCGGGTGCAAACAAAAAGAAAAATAAATAGATGGAACCGCCTCCTTTCGAAAGGAAAAAATAAGACAAAAAATATAAAACAAATTGTTCTGAAGAGGACAGTGATACCAAATGCCTGTTCTGTACCGAAACCTATCCTAAAGACAATAAAGGTGAAGGGTAGATAAGATGCGTTGTGTGCCTGAAATGGGGACATGAGGCTTGTGTGGAAATAGACAGTGGCAATGGCCAAGACTTTACTTGCGATTTTTGCCTTTCTAACCGTTTTGGAAGTGTGAAAAAAAAAGTTATGGCTATAGTTTATTTTTTTAATTCACATCATATAATCTTTATTTTTATTTATTTAGAAGAGGAGTTGATTTTTTTAATTATACTTTGTTAAAACTACAAAATTTAAAGAGGTTTTATTATCTAACCTTAAAACGTTTGTTACAATTGTTGGTATAAAATGATCCCCAGGGATCGTTTTATACATACATTTTTTTTATAGGATAAGGGTGAAAAACGAGCACACAGTCCACCTGATGGTAACTCGTTGCTATGGCCCATAGACATCTACATCTATCCTCTATTACAAATCAAAATGCAGATGCGTTTTCACCCGTGAGGACTACGATGGAATGCCTCATTTCCAGTAAAAAGGGCCTCCGGCCACCTGCACTCACCAAGCGAAACGCAGAGGTAAACCTCTACTTCACGCTGGTATTCTGTGAGGTCGTGGTACCACCCCGGTTCGAGCCGGCCCATCCGTGCGACAGCAAAAGCTGCCGCCTGGTTCTACCACTGTTAAAAATGCATGTTTTATACATGTGTATAAAACAATCCCTTACTAACCTTTTCGAAAATATGACTAGAACAAATAAACCACATACATATTGTGAGGAGTAAGTATGCAATTACAAAGATTAGTAAATTTACTATTCTTAACAATTTAAATCTTGTGTTTTTGTCTTAAACTTTGAGCGCAGTAAGGTTTTTGCGGGATCATATTGCACGCATCTCCCCTATATTAAAAAAAAACACTGAAAATTTAAAAATTTGTGATCACAGTACCTAAATATGTGATCTAGGTTGTTGATTTTCAACATTTTCAAAAGTATACCTATGATCACTTAACCAAGTAACATGTTTTTTTTTTGCTAAAACTGGTACAACCTAGCATGTCGCCCCGTACCCGCTTAACGTAGAGTTTCAGGACAACCTGTATATCCAGAATATTGTAATTGCATAGAAAAACAGATTTCCCTCGAATTACAATGTTGGTGTCATCAAGGCAAGAATGAATAGGCTTTAGTTAAACTAACTCAGTTACAATTTGTCATTCATGATCACAGTGAGATGGCTAATTTAAAGTCGCGTGTACTCGAAAATATCAAGCAAAGACGTAAGAAGGTAAGTGCCTATGAGGAGATTACTACGTCCTGGTTCATTGTTTACGTAATTCTTACCTTTTTTTTGTTACTATTTTCTATATTGTATTGTATTTACTAATTTGATAAAATATTAATCATCATCATCATTACAGCCCTCCACAAGTCCACTGCTGAACATAGGCCTCCTCCAAGGAATGTCACAAAGCACGGTCCTGAGCCACCTGCATCCATCGACTTTCTGCATGTCTTACCAGGTCGTCATTCCATCTAGTGGCGGGAGGCCCTACACTTCGTCCACCGGTGCAAGACCGTACTCGAGAACCTTATTTCCCCATCGGTTGGCGGTTCCTCGAGCGATATGGCCGGCCCCTTGCCACTTCAGCTTAATCATGAGTAGAGTAATAGGTTTAATTAAAGTCAATGAAATTCATGTATTCTTTAATTTCACATTCTTTATAACTAGCTCATATTTTTTTATAGAATATGGTAACAAACGAGTATACAGTCCTGACGAGTAACAGTGAGATGGTAAGTGAATGCTGTGGCCCATAGACATCTACATTTATCCTCAATTAAGAATCAAAATGCAGATTCGTTGTCACCCCTAGGACTAAGATGGAATGCCTATTGTCCAGTAAAAAGCTCACCGGTTCTCTACACTCACCAAACGAAACACAGCAGCTAAAGATGGTAAGTGAATGCTGTGGCCCATAGACATCTAAATTTATCCTCAATTAAGAATCAAAATGCAGATGCTTTGTCACCCCTGTGGACTATGATGGAATGCCTATTTTCCAGTAAAAAGGTCTCCGGTTCTCTACACTCACCATACGTAACACAGCAGCATTAAGCTGCTATTTTACGCTGGTATTATGTGAGAGCGTGGTCCTACCGTGGTCGAGCCAACCCATTCGTGCTACAACCATAATATAGCTGCAGCACAGAGTAAAGAGTATTTCTTTACTCATGTGGCTGCAGTGTGGATCTACCACGTATAAGATATGTACTATATGATATCATGATGGCTTATTGTGCAAACGTTGAAGCCATTTATTTATCTATACGAATACCATGTACTATAAATAATGATCTGCGTGGAAAAATAATATTTGTACAGCCATTTGATTAAAACCTGCCTTAAGAAAGAAAAATTATGTATGTATTTTTTCCAAATGAAAAATCAGCATACCTACATTAATGCCTTCTCTTAAATAAAGTCAGTTTCCTTGTGATACTTTAAAATTGACGGAGGTTATACCGTTATATTACTTAAGACGACTTGCACAACGCTTTTAAGATTGACAGAACCTTTATACGTAAAATATTTTAATCACGCACAACAATAATTAATTTTGTTATGCATACCATAACAAAAAGTTATTATAATTTAATGTACTTTAGATGAATATTTAATATGTCAGCCAGCCTTAGTAATTATTCACATATAATATTTAAATACCTTGACCGGGAATGAACCTTTACGTTTAACCTATATAACATGTTAGTTTACGAATGCATTTAATTTGAAAGTTAAAACTAGAATGATAAAGTGCATTGCGCTGTGTAATATCTTATTTCGCATTCGTGAGTTAGCATTGAGCAAGCATGAGTCATATAAAATGTAGCCATGTTTAAATTTGTCGCAACTGCTTTATAGTAAGAATATATCTACGTCAAGCTTTAAATATAAGAAATAAACATGTCGCTGTAATTAATTAAACTATTAATGTTTATCAATATATATTTTTACGTTACAAAAAACGGTCTGAATTAATTAAAAATAATTATAAATTTCATCATTGCGCTTGTCTTACTGCATTCGGTAGTTAAAGAAGTAATGGCAATGTATACACTGAATTCCAATTGGTCAAGATTCTGGTTCTGTTTACAGTCACCAGTTACCAGTCACAGTTAGTCTGTAATCTGTATAATAAGTAGGAAACTGTGAACAATAATAATAAAACATAAGCATAACTTTTAGTGTTTACAAACTTTTGATTGCGTGTTATAGAGTGGATATTTATAAAAGATGATTGTCTTTATAAAACTATACTTAATTTTAAGGTAAGAGCTTATTCATATTATATTTTGGTGCAATATACCTATATCGCAAGGCCCAAAAAATATGCAGTTCTTTTTTAAAACGTTGTCTGAAAAATTAAAAATAAAGTTCGAGGACATGGCAAGAAAATCCTTTATTTTTCAGAAATGAGAGACGGCTGACCAGCCGTAGCACTATTTATCTTTTATCATTTTTTTTTCTTTTTTAAATTATTTCATCATGTTTTATAGTATCACTAACCACGAGAAATTATTTAATTTCGGTACAGGGAAAAGTAGCATGAATGGCGTAATAAAATGAGATATGTTAAATAACAAGCCAAACTTTTACTTTAATCATTGATATAATATACGAGTATACGGGGTGGCCAAATAGGCCGTGCCAATTCCTGACACCATGACCAATAATTTTATACAAAAACGCTTATATAAATTAAAAAAAAACTCTAATGATTTTAATGATAATTGCGAAACAAATATTTGTACAAAAATTTCTTCATTTAAAAATTACATCCTTACTTTTTAAAACTTGCTGCACTGCTCCAATGCATGTTGGCGGACTTCACATGTCCTTGATGTATTTTATTCCTCAGACATGCAGGTTTCCTTCACCGCTGAGCATATTATGGTAAATCATCACTTAAATTTACAATTAATAATTTAATTGCTTTTTTTAATAGGATAAGGGTGACAAACGAGCACACAGCCCACCTATTGGTAAGTGGTTGCTGTGGCCCATAGACATCTGCATATATCCTCGATTACGAATCAAAATTCAGATGCGTTGTTACCTGTGAGGACTAAGATGGAATGCCTCTTTTCCAGTAAAAAGGGTCTCCGGTTCTCTACACTCACCATACGAAACACAGCAGCATTGAGCTGCTATTTTACGCTGGTGTTCTGTGAGAGCTTGGTCCTTTTCCGGTCGAGCCGAGCCATTCGTGCTACAACTATACTAGTAATATAGCTGCAGCATGGCTCTACCACGCTGCAGGCGCGGGACGAGCCCGGATTGCTTGCGTACTGTGAAATTTTCGGCCAGCGCATAGCCGCTGAGCTACCACGGCTCTTTATTTATGTACCTACTGAATATTTGTTGTCAAGTACCTAGCTTTTGTCTACATTATATCCGAGCCTACCTCTCTCATTTTAATTATGTGTTACCTCGACTATCCTACCCGTTCGGACGAGTCTAAAACATTATTATAATAAATATACCACAGTTTCCAGTTGAACTGATTTGTGTATTTACGATTATTTCGTAACGGTAATAGATTTGGAAAATATAACATTTGAGGAACGAAATTTTAATTTCATACGTCAAAGAAAACAAAGAATGCTACAGCTGCTTTGATCTCTGAGAAGAAAGATAAAATAATCTGAATATATTAAAAAATCTAAATTAATGAGAGAAAGTCAAAATTTTTCAAGATATTACATTTTCGAAAACTGGGTCCTTAAGAAATTGTTTAATATCCGAAAAAAGTTACAATCTGTATAACCTGTACTATTGTATCAATCTATAATGGTGATAATAGATAATAAAATATGCGACGTGTTTGACTTATTTACTCCACGATTTTATTTTTCACTCGAGTCGTAAGCACCGTTGTCGATTACCTGCTTTCTACGATACAGAAAATCCACCACAGAACCACAGAGTGATAAATAAATAAAACAGTGAAATACTCAAAAATATTTACCTTTTAGGAACCACTGATCTAATATGTATATCGTATAAAAAGAAGCTATTGATAAACACATTTTATACACATAATAAATATTCGTCTTCCAAAGATCCCCATCTTTTCTCATAGGTGTAGTTAAAGTCAACTAAATATCAAAAGTCATGATCAAAAGCAAGATGGTGTTTAAAAAGAGATGATGTAATAAGCACCTACTTTACTAAAGCAGAGGATGGGTAGCAGCATCTTTCTGATAACAGCAAAACAACAATAAAAAAACTGCAACAATGGCAATATACCCCCCCCCCCCACCCCCCCAACGATAGCAACGAAGAGACGGCCACCAGACCCCGGCGGTCCCGCTATTCCTGGCTACGGTGGCGACCATGGTAACGGCGGGGCAGGGGGTGCTAAGAATCTCCGGTGGAGATTCGGTTGCCACCTACGACGACTCGACCTGGCAACTTATAACGCACGCACCCTGAGGACTGACGAAAAGATCCTGGAGCTGGAAGAAGAGATAGACAAGTTGCACTGGAATATCATAGGATTATCCGAGGTCCGAAGAGAGGGGGAGGACACGGTAATCCTCGAATCCGGCAACTTGTTCTATAACCGGGAGGGCGACCATCTGTCCCAAGGAGGTGTCGGATTTGTCGTCGACAAGTCTCTCGTTGGAAAAGATTGGAAGTGTGTTGTCGAGGGTTGCGTACCTTATACTCGAAACCACCAAACGGTATTTGCTGAAGATCATAGAGGTTTACGCACCAACCTCGGCACACCCCGATGAGGAGGTGGAGGAAATGTATGAGGATATCTCTAGAGCCATGCATTCCTCCAAAACCCACTATACGGTGTTAATGGGAGACTTCAACGCAAAACTAGGCACAAGAGAGAACGGTGAGCTGAGAATAGGGAAATTTGGAAAAGGGCAACGGAACCCAAGGGGCCAACAGCTGGCCGACTTCATGGAGAAAGAGGGATAATTTATGATGAACTCTTTCTTCCAGAAGCGGCCCCATAGAAAGTGGACCTGGTCGAGCCCCGACGGTTCGACAAAAAATGAGACTTCATTATGACGACAACTGTTTAGTGATGTCTCAGTGATCGCGAGGGTGAAAACCGGCAGCGATCACCGAATGGTGAGAGGCACACAGAACCTAAACTTTAAGTTGGAGAGGTCACGTCTGATGAAGTAACCGCTCCGTTCCGCTCGTGCTATAATCCAAAGTCCCGAAACCTTTCAGCTCGAGCTACGAAACCGTTTTCAGTGTCTAGAAGATTGCAATGCAGTGGACGATATGAATGAAAAGCTGTTGTGCTGTGTTGTGTTGCGCGTGTTGCCAGTGATGACCTATGGAACTGAGATGTGGTCCTTCACTGCTGACCGGATGAGGAAGCTCAAGGTCGCTCAGCGAGCTATGGAGAGGGCTATGCTCGGAGTTTCTCTGCGTGATAAACTTAGAAATGAGGATATCCGCAGTAGAACTAGAGTGACCGACATAGCCCAACGGATTAGTAAGCTGAAGTAGCAATGGGCCGGTCATATAGCTCGAAGAACCAACAACCGATGGGGAAAAAAGGTTCTTGAATGGCGTGGAATGGTGTACCGGCGGACGAAGTGTAGGGCGTCCCCCCACTAGATGGAGTGACGATCTGGTAAGATACGCGGGAAGTCGATGGATACAGGTAGCTCAGGACCATGCTTTGTGGCTTTCCTTCGGTGAGGCCTATGTTTAGCAGTGGACTTGTGACGGGCTGTAATGATACTAAAGCACACCGGTGCGGCACGGCGACGGCAATTACCAAATGTTTGTAAAGTCTGATACTGCAATCGCCAATCTATCTACCAATACCAAGCATGGTGATTAAGGTAGCCTCCTTTCTATGCCGAAGGAACCTATTTCACTGGTGTGACGGGTAGTTGGCCTGGTAATAACCTAAAACTAACCATGATATAATTTTGTAAGTAGTTGAGGGTGAATGTCGCACCGCGATGTACCGCTCGCTCAGAATACCAGCGTTAAAATCAAATAGAACTTATCTGTTTGTTTTCTAACTGTAACTAATTGAATATCATATAAATGAAGAAACAGTTTTGGACGAAAGGAAAAGTCGGCAATTTTAAAACTAGCCCAACGGATTATTAAGCTGAAGGGGCAATGGGCCGGCCATATAGCTCGAAGACCCGACAACCGATGGGAATAAAGGTTCTCGAATGGCAGCCTCGTACAGGTAGGCGAAGTGTAGGGCGACCCTCCACTAGATCGAGTGACGACCTGGTAAAACATGCAGGAAGTCGTAGGATGCAGGTGGCTCAGAACCGTGCTTTGTGGTATTCCTTGGGGGAGACCTATGTTCAGCAGTGGACTTGTGGAGGGTTGTAATGATGATGATGATGATATGAATTTTAAAACTGTACGAGTATAACAGTCGATATACTTATAAGGTCTAAATATGTAAATATTCTACATGACACCATTTGAACTTAAGATAGTTCTTATCATGGCCCTTGCATTTGTTTCTTGCGCACGCAATTATGTATAATATTTTCCCTTTATTTTTGTTAAGTATAGAAAGGAGAAAAGGGACTTAGTTAATTATTTCATTAATCATATACATAATTAATAACTATTTTGTTTCACTAATTTTTACTTAAATTTATAACTGAAGCCCCGTCCAATATTCATTACAGGCTTAGACATTATTTAGAAACTGATTTCTGCTTGCTAGAACGAAATAATATCAACTCTATCAGTTTTATTACAGCAGTGAGGTTGACAAACAAGTACGCAGTCCACCTGATAGTGAATGAATGTTGTGGTATATGGACCTACATCTATCCTCGCTTAAGAATCAAAATGCAGATGCGTTGTCATCCCTGAGGAATAAGATGGAATGCCGTGTTACGTAAAAAAAAGTGTCTCCGGTACTCTACACTTATCATATGAAATGGAATAGTGTTATGCTGCTATTGTACGCTGATGTTTTGTGAGAGCATGTTCCCACGAGCGAGCCCGCCTCTGGTTTCATTTTCCTCGGTCGCCTCTCCTGACACCCACGGGGTGGTATGGATTGATGGACTATCTTACGCCGCCACTACACAAAGTGAGCCGCATGCTCATTTGAGCCCTCTTCTAAAAAAAACATGAGATACTCAATATATAAGACAATAATAATACAATAATAAAACATCGCCATTTGGTGGGGTCGTAGGAGTATCCACGATCCCATTTCCTCGAGGGAGTATCGTAAGAGGTGACTATGGAAAATGCCAGAAAAATCTCATGGCTATCGATAGATGGCGATGTAATCATCTCGTTTACGCCAGACGTAAAATACCCAAGCCAGGCAGCAGCGGCGAATGGGCGATACGTCTCGCCCTGCAATTGTCATTTATAAAGTAAGGGTAACAAAGTTCACATGATGACAAGTGGATGATGTGGCGCATAGATATCTACATTTATCCTCAATTTAAGAATCAAAATGCAGATGTAATGTAACCCCTGAGGAGTGAGGACTGTGATGGAGTGCCTTGTTTCCAGTAAAAGGTTCTCCGGTTCTCTACACTCACCATATGAAACGCAGTAGCATTAAGCTGCTTATTTACACTTGTATTCGGCTTTTACCTTGGTTTATGGCTTGACCGAGGACCACCTTCTGTGATAGCGTGGTCCTAACCCAGTCGGGCCGACCCATTTGTGCTGCAACCATAATATGGCGGCAGCATAGCTCTGTCAAGTAAAATTAAGACAAATCCTTCCTAACGCGAGAGAGCAATGTCCAGCAGTTAACTTTTTATCATCATCATTACAGCCTTTCATAAGTCCACTGCTGAACATAGGCCTCCCGCAAGGAATGCCACAAAGCACGGTCCTGAGCTACCTGCATCCATCGACTTCCTGCATGTCTTACCAGGTCGTCACTCCATCTAGTGGGTGGTCACCCTACACTTCGCCTACCGGTACGAAGCTGCCACTCGAGAACCTTTCTTCCCCATCGGTTGTCGGTTCTTCGAGCTATATGGCCGGCCCACTGCCACTTCAGCTTACTAATACGTTGGGCTATGTCGGTTACTCTGGTTCTACTGCGGATATCCTCATTTCTAAGTTTATCACGCAGAGAAACCCCGAGCATAGCCCTCTCCATAGCTCGCTGAGCAACCTTGAACTTCCTCATATGGCCAGCAGTGAAGGACTACGTCTCAGATCCGTAAGTTATCACTGGCAACACACACTGGTTGTACAGTCTCGTTTTCAAGTTTTGAGGTATACCTGACGAGAAGATGTGTCGTAATTTCCCGAACGCTGCCCAGCCGAGTTGAATCCGTCGATTGACCTCTCGGTCGAAGTTGGACTTACCTAGTCGGACTATTTGTCCCAGGTAAACATACTCGTCAACAACTTCGAGCTCAGAGCTCCCAACAACTACCAGCATAGGTGTGACATGGACGTTAAACATGATTTTTGTTTTGTCCATGTTCATCTTAAGACCTATCCATTGGGAGACACTATTGAGGTCATTTAGTATAGTGCTTAGGTCCTCCAACGATTCTGCCATAAGCTCTATATCGTCGGCAAATCAAAGTTGAGTGATGTACTCGCCATTAATGTTAATACCGCATCTTTTCCAGTCCAAAGTCCCGAAACCTTTCAGCTCGAGTTACAAAACCGTTTTTAGTGCCTAGAAGACTGCAATGAAGTGGACGATATGAATGACAAGCTCGTGGAAACTGTCCATGCGGTCGAAGCTAAGTTCTGCATGACCCACCGCAGAAGAACACAAAAAACTCTCCGATCACACTCTTAATCTCATGGCTGTTAGACGAGAAATGAAGCTGCAGTCTTCAACAGATTTGACAGCATACAGGCAACTGAACAGACAAATCTCCAAATGCATGCGGCGGGACTTATGCAACTTCAATGCAGATTGTATTGAAGAAGCGATCGAGCGGAATCAAGGCTCCAAAGTCTTTGCCAGAGATCTGTCTGCCAGAAAGAGCCAACTGTCAAAGCTGAAGACCGAGTGTGGCAACATCGTTTCCGGGACACCTGAGATTTTGAGTGAGATTGAGAGGTTCTATGGGCAGCTGTACACGTCATCGTTGGAGCTATACGCAAGTGTGAGTAACGATCAAAGAGCGAGTCTTATCCGACACTATTCTGAAGATATCCTGGACGTCAGTCTGAGCGAGGTTAGAATGGCTCTCCAACATCTTAAAAACGGCAAGTCCCCAGGCGATGATGGAATTACAGCGGAGCTTTTGAAAGCGGGTGGAAAACCGGTACTTGAAGTCCTTCAGAAGCTCATTAATTCCGTCCTCCATGCTGGCACTACTCCGGAAGCGTGAAGCAGAAGTGCGGTGGTCTTGTTCTTCAAGAAAGGTGACAATGCTCTCTTGAAGAACTACAGACCGATTTCACTTCTGAGCCGCGTCTATGTGCTGTTTTCGAGAGTCATTACGAATCGTCTCGCACGCAGACTTGACGACTTCTAGCCTCCCGAACAAGCCGGTTTCCGATAAGGCTTTAGTACCATAGACCACATATATACCCTGCGGCAGATTATACAGAAGACAGAGGAGTATAATCTGCCACTTTGCCTTACGTACGAGTATGTGGACTATGAGAAAGCCTTTTTGGGCGGTGCTGCAGTCCCTTCAGCGGTGCCAAGTTGGCTGTCGGTATATCGAAGTGCTGAAGTGTTTTTACAATAGGGCTACAATGGCTGTCCGAGTACAAAACCAGAATATGAAACGTATCCAACTGCAGAGAGGTGTAAGACAGGGTGACGTTATAGCCCTGAAAATCTTCACCGCTGCATTGGAAGACGTTTTCAAGCTTCTGGACTGGAAAGGATACGGTATTAATATCAACGGTGAGTACATCACTCACCTTCGATTTGCCGACGATATAGTCCTTATGGCAGAATCGTTAGAGGTAGTGTCCTCTATAGCGCCTGCTCAATGACCTCAATAGCGCCTCCCAACGTATAGGTCTTAAGATGAACATGGACAAAACGAAGATCATGTATAACGTCCATGTCACACCTATGCCGGTAGTTATTGGAAGCACTAAGTGCGAACTTGTTGACGAGTATGTTTACCTGGGACAAATAGTCCAACTAGTTAAGTCCAACTTAGACAGAGACGTCAATTGTCGGATTCAACTAGGCGTTCGGGAAATTACGGCACATTTTCTCGTCAGGTATACCTCAAAACTTGAAAATGAGACTGTATAATGAGTGCGTGTTGCCAGTGATGACCTATGGAACTGAGACGTGGTCCTTCATTGCTAGCCGGATGAGGAAGATCAAGGTCGCTCAAAAAGAGGGCTATGCTCGGGGTTTCTATGCGTGATAAACTTAGAAATAAGGATATCCGCAGTAGAACCAGAGTGACCGACATAGTCCAACGGGTTAGTAAGCTGAAGTGGCAATGGGCCGGCCATATAACTTGAAGAACCGACAACCGATGGGGCAAAAAGATTCTCCAGTGGCAGCATCGTACCGACGGAAGAAGTGTAGGGTGTCCCCCCACTAGATGGAGTGACGACCTGGTAAGACATGCAGGAAGTCGATGGATGCAGGGGCTCAGGACCGTGCTTTGTGGCATTCCTTGGGGGAGGCCTATGTTCAGAAGTGGACTTGTGAAAGGTTGTAATGATGATGAATGATGATGATGAATGATGATGAGTTTGTCTTGTACTTCTTGAAGCGCTCTACAATTTTAGTACACACACTTGTATGGACTGTAATACTAAAGTACGCTATGTTATGCACGTACGACACGACCATATCAAGCAGCGCAAGCAAGGTGCATTACGAAACATCGTAAAGTGGTTTGCTAATTGTGGTGCTTCATGAGTCGGCGACCGCCACTACACTCCATCCAAAACATAAAGGTCACACTACGTTGAGAAATACTTGTAAAATGTGAATTCCGTTCATGGAGATATATATATTTCGTTTAAATTTACTGAATTTCAATGCCATATTTACTTAAATTCTTTCCGCCGTTTGTTGGCATAAGCTAATTCACCATCACAATATCACCTCATTGCATCATGTGAGTACCATTGCGTCTAAGTCAACTAAGATTACACCGATTAGCCTTCCTTTTTACATACTTTGTACTAACATGTTACCTGCATATGTGTATGTATAACTGTAATGGAATCTTGTCATTCACTTTTCACCCACTTCCAGACGTCCAAATGACTGATGACAGTACAATAATTTCAAGTTTGTGACCTAGTATACTTACTAGGATAACAACATCTCATGATCAGTTGTTTTCTTAAACTCTAATATTATTATTGAACTGCCAACCGTAACCAGAACACTAAGATAATTTACGACAAGGAAACTATAACCGATTAATTATTACTGCACTTGCTTTACTTGTTTCAGTATAATCACTAATAAATTGGCGACAGCAATTTCTCCGGCCCTAATTTTAAGTCCCTTTATCAATCAGAATCGTACTGATGAGGCCAGAAAGCTATCTGCTGTGGAACCCTCACTATTCCTTAATGTGACCAGCTATTCCGGATTCCTTACGGTTGATGCTACATACAACTCAAATCTATTCTTTTGGTATTTTCCTGTGAGAGATAGACCGATAAAGACAACGCCTTGGATAATTTGGCTTCAAGGAGGACCAGGCGCGAGCAGCCTCGCGGGATTGTTCGACGAAATTGGACCTTTTGATTATAACAAGGAGTTGGGGTTAAAAAGTTAGTATCAGTTATTTAATTCCATATAGAATTGCATTAAATTGTAAAAAAGTGAGCATTGTGGTGTGTAGAATAGATGATGTATGATAAATCCATCTGTAGTGTGTTCTTAAACACCAACTAATAAATAAACCAAATAATCTAGTGGTTTTCGGCAAATGATAATTCCACCTCATCTATACAAATAAATAAAATTGAAGTGTCTGTTTGTAATGTCAAAATTACAGTTTTTTACTAAATGCATATGAAAGTAAATACGGTACTTATAACTAAAATGCAATTTTTAAAATTTTTGTCTGTCTGTCTGTCTGTTTGTTCCGTTTAATCTCCGAAACGGCTGGACCGACTTTGACGGGACTTTCACTGGCAGATAGCTGATGTTATAAGAAGTAACTTAGGCTACTTTTATTTTAGAAAAAGAATTAGGGTTCCGCGCGAAAACATAAAAACCCTAACACACGAACGAAGTCGCGGGAAACAGCTAGTACTATCATATAATATTTTGTAACCCTACGGTAATTAAAACAGGCATTAGCCGTGATTGAATTGTGAGAATATAAATGAATGCGTCAATTAAGATATTCTTGGAATAACAAAATTATCATTTCGAAGTTCACATCAGAAAAGGCCAAACCGGTTGTGGAAACTGTGTTTATGTAACGAGATGTATTTTTAAGGCATTGTAATTACAAAGCAGCCACAAATGCTACTCGTATTAAGATAACAATAAATGCTACCAACTTCTGAGACACCTATGTCTTTACAAAAGTTAATAATTCAAATCTAATATCGTTCTCTATAATAATAATGTCGTCGTGTAATAATGTCATACCTCCACACTAGTATTTTCTCCTATATCGCGGGGGCAGTTTACATATATAGATTTCACAAGGACAAACATCCAGACCCAAAACAATTATTTATAGGCCATACAAATACTTGTTCCGTGCGGGATTCGAAGCCGCGACCCTTGGCGCTGCACTTCACTACAAAGCCACTGCGCCACTGAGCCGTCCAAACGTAGCTTTATAAGCTACGTATTCGCGTAATGTTTTTCGGGAGTATGTATCTGTATGCATGTATGTATGTACTATGTCTATTTCTTTGGCAGTTGGCACGCTTGTAGCCTAAAGGGCTTGATGGATTTTAACATTATGAGGTGTCGTTTGAATTGTCTTAATTATGGGTTGTGACATAGGTTATGTTAATATTTATACATTACATCTTTTTTTTTTCAGAAAACTTTTTAACGCATTCGTGGTTTTTCAACCTCCGACGAAAACAATGGTAGAGCCACGCGGCAGCTTTTGCTGTCGTACGGATGGGCGGGCTCGAACCGGGGTGGTACCACGACCTCACAGAAAACCAGCGTGAAGTAGAGGTTTACCTCTGCGTTTCGCTTGGTGAGTGCAGGTGGCCGGAAGCCCTTTTTACTGGAAATGAGGCATTCCATCTTAGTCCTCACGGGTGACAACGCATCTACATTTTGTAGATGTAGATGTCTATGGGCCGCAGCAACCACTTACCATCAGGTGGACTGTGTGCTCGTTTGTCACCCTTATCCTATAAAAAAAAACAGAGGGGTGTTATATGTTTGTAGTGTGTATATGTGTATCTACGTATCTGTGTATCTGTGTGTCTGTCTGTTGCATCATAGCTCCTGAACGGATGAACTGGTTTTGATTAAGTTTCTTTCGTTTGAACGGTGTCGTAACCAGAAGTTTTCTTAGCTTTGTTTTATGAAAATCTATTCAGTCGTTTGAAGATCACCAGCTCTTTTTATTTCGGGTTTATTTTTTAATTTTTAATTTAAATTATTAATTACTGTTTTACCCATTAAGCTTGGTTAAAATAATTTTACGATGTTTTTACAGTTCGTGAGTCGTCATGGTGGCATGAGTATTCCATGGTATTTATTGACAATCCTGTAGGAGCTGGCTACAGCTTTACTAACAGCCAAGATGGATTCGCTCGGAATATGGCTATGGTTCGTATTTTAGTTTTTTTTTTTTTAAGTTATCTCATAGTATTATTTTCTCGTGTATCGTGACGGGGTTTTATATACATTAATTTCGTTTGGACAAACATCTAGACACGGAACAATTATTTTGTAAATTTTTTCAATTTGATTACAAGTAAGTAAGAGTCACTTGTAATCATATTGAAAAAAAAAATACTATCCCTGAGTCCTCTCACTGCATCAGATAATTTCAACAACCTTGTTTGAAAGTTAAATAATGAATGGCAAATTAACACAAGACTACACGAATAAAAATGAAATTGAACGTCGCTTTGCCTTTATGTATCTTTTACAACACACGTGCAGTTCTGAACTTCTAGCATTGGGGAGCTCGCTACATCAGATCCTTTCTTAAACTTCTTTCTTTTTCCTTTAGCCTATGTGAGATAAGGCAAAAGTCTACGAACTACTCTGCCGTGTGGCGGCGGCGTAAAAGAATACATCGCCCGATTTCGTACCAAATGTCCTAAGATGGAGTATTCCAAAAATATCTTATGGATTCCGATAGATGGCGGTTTATCCACCTCGCTTATGTTAGCGAGGTGGATATTGATCTTGGCGGCCAGTGACAACGGAGACTAACATCTGCGCAGAACAGTATTATAGTGTCGGAGTGTATGCACAAGCATAGCTGCAGGAGCTCTTCTCTCTATTCCCTCACTCAAGTTCGATGGGACGGCAGTCCCATACGACCGGAGAGAGATATAGCGTCAACTTACTGCTTTACATGCTTTCCGAGGCACGACAATGAAACACCGCTAGTTTCCTAACTCCGGACTGGTATTGAGAATTTCGTGAATTTCGTGAAAGAAAAACTCAAAACTGATGTTTTTGGCCGACCAGGGATTCGAACCCGGGACCTCGTAATTAGCAGACGCGCTACTAGACCAACGAGACAGTCATACATATCTTGTGTTATAAATGTACGCGCGACTACAAAGGCACTCTTCCTAACCTACCCGTGCTTGATGTAACGTTTAAACATTAATCGTTCTTACGACTGAAAATTATAATTTATTTCTATGTTCCAATTGTTTCAGTATTCAAATCACTTGTACAAGGCCGTTATACAGCTGGTGACTTTATTTCCTGAGTTGCAAAATGCCCCGTTGTACCTTGCCGGTGAATCTTATGCTGGACATTATATACCGGGGTTTGGAATTAAAACACTTGAGGAAATGAACAAGAATAAAAATGGAATGTTTCCTTATAACCTAAAGGTAAATTCAGTTCAATTTATTACTCGTAGGGTTCAATTCAATGCGAACTACGATAAAAACTTCTTTGTTTTTTTAAAAAGCGAGATAATTATTCTCGCCATCAATTAAGATGAGAAAGTGCGTGTGGTTTTTTTTTTTATTAAACTAAAGTGTAAACGAGCTGACAGTGCACCTGATCTTAAGTGGATACTGCAGCCCGTGGAGATCTGCATCAAACTTCGAACTAAAGATTAAGTTGGAATACTGATTCTCTATACCTTTCAGACCGAAATAATCGATGCAGGTTATCTATACAAATAAATAAAATGAAGTGTTTGTACTCTGTAATGCCAAAATAACAGCTTTTTACAAAATGAATATGAAAGTAGTAAGTTTTTTACGTGGTAGAGCCATGTTGCAGCTATGTTATGGATGTAGCACGAATGGGTCGGCTCGACCGGGGAAGGACCACGCTGTCACAGAATACCAGCGTAAAATAGCAGCTTAACACTGCTGTGTTTATTATGGTGAGTGTAAAGAACCGGAGACCCTTTTTACTGGAAACGAGGCATTCATTGCACTGCATTTTGATTCATAATCGAAGATAGATGTAGGATGTCTATGGACCACAGCAACCACTTACCATCAGGTGGACTGTGTGCTCGTTTGTCATCCTTATCCTCATTCAGTGGTAGAGCCACGCGGCAGCTTTTGTTGTCGCACGGATGGGCCGGCTCGAACCGGGGTGGTACCACGACCTCACAGAATACCAGCGTGAAGTAGAGGTTTACCTCTGCGTTTCGTTTGGTGAGTGCAGGTGGCCGGAGGCCCTTTTTACTGGAAATGAGGCATTCCATCTTAGTCCTCACGGGTGACAACGCATCTGCATTATGATTCGCAAACGAGGATAGATGTAGATGTCTATGGGCCGCAGCAACCACTTACCATCAGGTGGACTGTGTGCTCGTTTGTCACCCTTGTCCTATAAAAAACAAAGTACGGTACTTATAATAAAACAACAATTTTTTCTTGTCTGTCTGTTTGTTTCGGCTTATCTTCAAAACGGCTGGACCGATTTTGATGAGATTTTCACTGGCAGATAGCTGGTATTATTATGGATGATACCACACTTGGTATCCTCTATAATAATTGGCTGGGGGTTTCACGACTGCACACAGTATCATTCACGTACGTTAACAATCGACGTTGCCTTAAATTTTTATCCTAGCCATTAGATATAGCACATTTGAGAAAATTATTTCCGTTAACGCTATTAAAGCGAATGACAGAAATTATTTCTTCTATCTTATGCTAGATCATATAACAGAACACCGCTGGAACTACCAGCGGTGTTCTGTTTTCCGTCGTGATAGCTCAAGAGATAAGCGCTCGCTCCTAAAGTTAGTAAGCAAACCGTTTGGTTCTTGCCGAAACAAATTAAATTTAATAATATTTTTATGTACCGAAAATTAGCGACTATTAGCTAGGGATATTAATTGGTTAAGGTTTGTAGGGATTTAAAATTAAAATATATTTCAAAGACATGTGTTACTCTCAGAAGTAGGACAAGACTTTTCTTGAACAGTAGGACGTATGTAGAGACTTTAGCCTAGGTATTGTCTTATTTTACTGTTTAGGAACTTACTATGAGAATACGGAATTAGACTCGTACTTGCTACTTATCACTTGACGTCGACATGACGTCGACTTTTTTTAATTACTAAAAATATTTTATATATTATAATTTTATTTCCAGGGATTAATCATGGGTAATCCCGTGTTAGACCGTGAAAGCATAGCGAATTTTACCTCAGTGTTTTATCACTGGGGCCTGATCGACAGTCAGGGCGTAATTGCAGCCAATCCTCTCCAGGAGCAGTACACCCAAGCTGTTGAAGTTGGCAATAGCAGTGCTGCTGTGATTGTACGTTTTCTTTTGTTTCCTTTCAATAGTCATAGTCGAAGTCTATAGTTATTTACGGAGAACAGAGTCCAGGTGCAGCTTGTAAAAAATCTGGTAACCAAGTGAAACAGCTCGACAATGGAAAGAAACGCGACCGCATGAAATACTAGAGGAAAGTGGCAGCTTAATTACTGGCAACAGGACATTAATTGTTAGTGGTACTCACCCTTGTTTCCTTTCCTTATTTATTTCATATTCAATGATTTTTTACTACAGATTTAGGTTTTAACAAGTCATCCTACCCAGATAATATACAAATTTAGTAGAATATTTTTAAATTCATGTCTTTTATCCATTAATTAATTTTGAAGTAAATTTTTCTTTTATATAATAATACTTTTAATTTAAACTAGATTTTCTTGCAAATTTTTCATTTTACAATTCTTATTAATATTATTTTCGTAATTATTTTTATTGAAATCAACTTAGATCAGTAAGCTGAAAACTAAGATGCTGGCAATGGGCCGTAAGCAAGTAAAAAAGTAATGATCAATGGAAATAAAAGGTTTTCGAGTGAAAGCCTCGTACATGGAAGAGTCGGTGGATGCAGGTGATTCAGGATTGTGCTTTGTGGCAATCTTTGGGGTAAACCTACGTCCAGCAGTGACTGGGATGGGCTGTAATGATAATGATGAAAATATCATCATATTTTTTTTGCAATAAATATAAATTAATTATAATTTTGTTGAATTTATGTTTATTTAAAATTTTGACTGTGGCGGTGTAAGATTGTCTACAACCTCATATAGATATAGTCCTGGGAGTCGCAAGAGGCGCCAGAGGGAAAAAATCAGGAGATGGGAAGCAGTGCCTTCTTAATAACGACAAAAAATATATAAAAGTGATGTGATCGTCAACCCGTCAAGCGTAGCTACTATGGCAAATATCCTCCCTATGAGAACTTAACATTGTACTTGTGTTGGGCTGTAATGAATGATTGAATGAATGTAACTCAGCAGTGGACATTTAATAAGCCGTAACAACGACGGTAAACATAATTTTAATATAGATAATTTAGATAATAGTTCTGTGATGTATTGATATAATGATCTAAATTTTTTAAATATAAAAACGTATATGGTCAATTTTATAATATGTCTTGATAATATTAATTAAAATTACAGCTCCGTGATCAGCTATTGGACAAATTACAAGACATAACCTCTCAGAGCCAAGTGTACAATATTTTGCACAACTACGGAGACTTAAAGGGTTTCATGGATTACATCATGTTAGAAAACGTGCGAGATGCGCTACACGTCGGCACTATAAAGTTTACATTCAGCAATGGTAGCGTCCACACACATTTGGCTTCCGATTTCTTGGCTAAAATGTCCCCGACGATGAACACTTTATTGGAGCACTGTAAGGTCCTGATATATTGGTAAGTTATTTGCTTTTTAAACAATAATTGACTCTATCTGAACTCTAATAACTCTTATTGGATGGTATTTATGCTCACTTTAGTACATTCATCATCTACACTTCATGAAATCAGAATCTTCAGCATATCAAATCCAATGGATTTTGAGAGGATGAAGAAAAGTTATGCAAAGTTTTCTTACCTTGACATATCGGTTTTGCCTGTACATCTAGCCAAACAAAGAATATTTAATCAACACTAATATCAACTATTTTTAAAATTGCACCGACTGCCATAATATACTTTTATGAAAGAAAGTTGTGTCTGTTCCAGTAAATGCACGTCGCTTGGAGAAATTTATAAATAACATAGTAAAAAAACTTCCATCACTTTCATACCAAAATGATCTTAATTTTTTGTATGGAACATTATTTAAGCTTATTTGCAATGAATTTAATAATACTTTTACTTCTAAAACATTCTCCTTGAACAGTCGGAAGTCATTCAATGAATGGGCGACAGTAGGAGTCCATAAGAGCAGGCATAGGTTATATGATCTTTACCATGAAAGGTCATATAATCATAGCGTCGAATTTAGGGAATATGTAAAAAAATATTCAAAAATATTTAAAAGAGTGTGCTCCATAGCCAAGTCTTTACATTTGAGCAACAAAATTAAGACGGCTTCCAATAAAATTAAAATGACATGGAGTATAATTAATAGCGAAACTGGTAAGTGTTAACAACAAATTAACTGTATCAGATCAGGACGTAGCAATGGTTTTTGAGAAATATTTTACTGATATTCCGATCTTGACCACTAAGTCACTGAAATCTTCTCCTGCCGTCGCCGAATCATTACTTAAACAAAATGTAAATGCGTGTACAAAGAATTTTATATTTCATAAAGTGTCATCAAAAGATATTGTAAAATAATATGTTAAGAAAACTACGGATCTGTGGGGGATTTCCGTTAAAGTTATTGCGTCTATAATAGATACAATTGCGCCTCATTTAGCTATTATTTTTAATACTAGTATCGAATATGGTGTGTTTCCTGATTTAATAAAGCATAGTTAAGTAATACCTTTATTTAAATCTGGTAGTACATTAGACCTCGCCAATTTTAGACCTATTTCTGTACTACCAACACTTAGTAAGATTTTTGAAAAATTGTTCTTGATCAAATGTTAATTTTTTTTAATATAAATAATTTACTTCATAAAAATCAATTTCGTTTCACAAGAGGTCGCTCGACAACTGATGCCGGTGTTGAGCTGATTAAATATATCTTTAATGCATGGGAGAATTCACAAGATGCTTTGGGTATATTTTGTGACCTATCCAAGGCCTTCGATTGTGTTCACCATGAAACATTAATCAGGAAACTTCAACACTACGGTGTAAGAAGTCATCATCATCATTACAGCCCTTCACAAGTCCACTGCTGAACATAGGCCTCCCCCAAAGAATGCCACAAAGCACGGTCCTGAGCCACCTGCATCCATCGACTTCCTGCACATCTTACCAGGTCGTCACTCCATCTAGTGGGGGGACGCCCTACACTTCGCCTGCCGGTACGAGGCTGCCACTCGAGAACCTTTCTTCCCCATCGGTTGTCGGTTCTTCGAGCTATATGGCCGGCCCATTGCCACTTCAGCTTACTAATCCGTTGGGCTATGTCGGTCACTCTGGTTCTACTGCGGATATCCTCATTTCTGAGTTTATCACGCAGAGAAACTCCGAGCATAGCCCTCTCCATAGCTCGCTGAGCGACCTTGAGCTTCCTCATCCGGCCAGCAGTGAAGGACCACGTCTCAGTTCCGTATGTCATCACTGGCAACACGCACTGGGTGTACAGTCTCGTTTTCAAGTTTTGAGGTATACCTGACGAGAAGATGTGCCGTAATTTCCCGAACGCTGCCCAACCGAGTTGAATCCGTCGATTGACCTCTCGGTCGAAGTTGGACTTACCTAGTCGGACTATTTGTCCCAGGTAAACATACTCGTCAACAACTTCGAGCTTAGTGTTCCCAACAACTACCGGCATAGGTGTGACATGGACATTAAACATGATCTTTGTTTTGTCCATGTTCATCTTAAGACCTATCCGTTGGGAAACACTATTGAGGTCATTGAGCATAGTGCTTAGGTCCTCCAGCGATTCTGCCATAAGGACTATATCGTCGGCAAATCGAAGGTGAGTGATGTACTCGCCATTGATGTTGATACCGTATCCTTTCCAGTCCAGAAGCTTGAAAACGTCTTCCAACGCAGCGGTGAAGAGTTTCGGGGATATGACGTCACCCTGTCTTACACCTCTCTGCAATTGGATAGGTTTCGTGCTCTGGTTCTGTACTCGGATAGCCATCGTAGCCCTACTGTACAAGCACTTCAACACTTCGATATACCGATAGTCAACTTGGCATCGCTGAAGGGACTGCAGCACCGCCCAAATTTCGACGGAATCAAAGGCTTTCTCATAGTCCACATACGCCAGACATAGTGGCAAATTGTACTCTTCGGACTTCTGTACAATTTGCCGAAGGGTATGCATGTGGTCTATGGTGCTAAAGCCCTTTCGGAAACCGGCTTGTTCGGGAGGCTGGAAGTCGTCAAGTCTGCGCGCGAGACGATTCGTAATGACTCTCGAAAACAGCACGTAGACGCGGCTCAGAAGGGAAATCGGTCTGTAGTTCTTCAAGAGAGCGTTGTCGCCTTTCTTGAAGAACAAGACCACCGCACTTCTGCTCCACGCCTCCGGTGTAATGCCACCATGGAGGACGGAATTAAAGAGCTTCTGAAGGACTTCAAGTACCGGTTTTCCACCCGCTTTCAGAAGCTCCGCTGTAATTCCATCCTGGCCTGGGGCCTTGCCGTTTTTAAGGTGCTGGAGAGCCATTCTAATCTCGCTCAGACTGACGTCCGGGATATCATCGGAATAATGTCGGATAAGACTCGCTCTTGGATCGTTACTCACACTTGCGTGTGGCTCCAACGATGACGTGTACAGCTGCCCATAGAACCTCTCAATCTCACTCAAAATCTCAGGTGCCCCGGAAACGATGCTGCCACATTCGGTCTTCAGCTTTGACAGTTGGCTCTTTCTGGCAGACAGATCTCTGGCAAAGACTTTAGAGCCTTGGTTCCGCTCGATCGCTTCTTCAATACGAGCTGTATTAAAGTTGCGTAAGTCCCGCCGCATGCATTTGGAGATCTGTCTGTTCAGTTGCCTGTATGCTGTCAAATCTGTTGAAGAATGTAGCTTCATCTCCCGTCTAACAGCCATGAGATTAAGAGTGTGATCGGAGAGTTTTTGTGTTCTTCTGCGGCGGGTCTTGCAGAACTTAGCTCCGACCGCATGGACAGTTTCCACGAGCTTGTCATTCAAATCGTCCACTTCATTGCAGTCTTCTAGGCACTGAAAACGGTTTTGCAACTGTAAGAAGTAATGCTCTTAAATTAATTATTTCATATTTAAGTAAGAGTACGCAAAAAGTTGTCATTAACAATATGAGCTCTTCCGGATCGATGGTACAAATGGGCGTGCCTCAAGGCTCAATTCTCGGCCCCTTTCTGTTTCTTGTATACATTAATGACTTACCTTACATATTAGGGGACAACCTTGATATAGTGTTATTTGCAGATTACATTTCTTTAATTTTCAAATTAAGTCGACAATTACTAAAATATGACGAAGTAAATAATGCTATATCTAAATTGGTAAATTGGTTCAATGTTAATAATTTCCATTTAAAGGGCACTAAAACGAAATGTATGAAATTCGTGACTCCAAATGTCAAACAATTAAATACTAATGTAATTTTAAATGGGGAGAAATTGAGTCTTGTAGATACCACCATTTTTCTTGGAATCACACTAGACGCGAAGCTTCAATGGAGCAGATGGAACCCCCATATATCAAAACTAGCAAGCAGACTTAGTTCTGCAGCATATGCTGTAAAAAAGATTAGAAGTCTAACCAGTGTTGAAACAGCTAGACTAGTTTACTTTAGCTATTTCCATAGCATAATGTCGTATGGTATTTTGCTATGGGGACACGCAGCTGACACTGAAATTATATTTGTTTTATAGAAGAGGGCCATAAGAGCAATTTATGATTTAAAGCCTAAAAGAGTCGCTACGACAAAAATTTAAGGAAATTAATATATTAACTTTGGCCTCTCAATACATTTATGAAAATGTAATGTACGTACACAAAAATAAAAGTAGTTTTACAAAAATAAGTGATATTCATTCTGTAAATACTAGGAACAGATACAAGCTAGTAGTACCAGTTACTCGACTCCATCGAGTCAGTAATTCATTCTTGGGGCGATGTATACGCTTTTACAACAAAATTCCAGAAAATATACAAAGTTTGACCTGCTCAAAGTTCAAAAACTTTATTAAACTAAGTTTGTATAAAAATAGTTATTATAATATTAAGGAATTTATGGATGATAATAACCCCTGGAAATGAGGTGATCGCTACCAAGCTATTTCTAATTTGTTGTGTTGTTAATTTGTGTAACATCATGATTGTAAGCTGTTATTTAAAAAAAAGTCCCGCTGGCTTTCTTGCTGGTTCTTCCCAGGACAGAGGTTTTTTCCGAACCAGTGGTAATCAAACAAAAGAGTGACTTTCACTAAGTATTATTTATAATCTATATTGAATAAAAAAGTGTCTGTTTCTGTTTCTGAGTACCCCACACTTACCACGATGGGTGAACGCAAAGATCTCTCGTATCGGTAATGCTGTTTTCACCATACACTGAATCTGAATTTGGATTCAGCATTTTTTTCTTTTTTGTATGTATTTTCTTCTATATGTCCGTCTTCTAGGCATCGCCCATTTTAATTATTAACTTTTTTATAGGATAGGGTGACAAACAAGCACACAGTCCACCTTATAGTAAGTGGTTGCTGTGGCCAATAGGCATCTACATCTATCCTCGTTTGCGAATCAAAACGCAGATGCGTTGTCACCCGTGAGGACTAAGTTGGAATGCCTCTTTTCCAGTAAAAAGGGTCTACTAACTAACTATATTCATTACTGTCAGACAAGAATCATTTTCAAAGGCCTACAAAACTATTTCTGTCATTATGTGTATAAATTTCATTAATTCACACTGAACATGAACGAACTAAAATAAAAATCGTTTTAAAAAATCCCTCGTCATAACTCCTCGTTAAAGAATAACTTATCTATCTATGAATTCGCGAGGTTATTGACTTTAAAAAACTATATTAAAACATTTATGCAAACAAATATCCGCTTGGAATCCTGTAATGATATAAATAAATCAAAACCTAAACATACTGCTGCAAGTTTTCAAGGAACAGCACTTTCTCGATCGGAGCAAAATTTACATCAAGTTGACACCTCAGTCTTCGTTATAAATAGGTGGTGCAAAGCACTCAAAATATCGGAAATTTATAATAAGCGAAATTGAACGCAGTAAAATTTGTAGAAATTAGTTTTATTCAATATAAAAAATAACACAAACAATTTGTGCAAGCAAATCTTTATAAGTGGTAGAGCCACGCTGCAGCTTATATTATGGTTATACCACGAATGGGTGAGCTCGACCAGGGAAGGACCACGCTCTCACAGAATACCAGCTTAAAATAGCAGCTTAAAGCTGCTCCGTTTCGTATGGCGAGCGTAGAGAACCGGAGACCCTTTTTACTAGATAGGAGACATTCCATCTTAGTCCTCAGGGGTGACAACGCATCTGTACTTGGATTCTTAATCGAGGATAGATGTAGATGTCTATGGGCCACAGTAACCACTTACCATCAGGTGGACTGTGTGCTCGTTTGTCACCCTTATTCAATAAAAAAATCAAATCATAAATATAAAATTAGCTCGTAAATGTCCACTGCTAGACATCCCCAGTCATCTTCTCTTCCTGGAAGGATATAAAAAACAAACAGCAACAACAACAACAACAAACAGCATAGAATAAAATAAAAATAACTAAGAAATAAATAAATTACATTATTACAATATTGCAGCCATATTATATCTATGTCTGTATTTCTAATGTATAGTAAAAACACATTTAGCAAAAATATATAACTCTTCTGGAGACGTTGATACTTGATACGTAATTTTTTCTGTCACATAATGTCGTGGTGAACTGGGCAAGGGGAACTCGTCCAGCTTAACAGTCGAAACTATAGCGCCAGTAGTAAAGGTGCGAATGGCAAGCAAGTATTTGATTTTCATGTAAACAGAGAGACGACGTTACATTTGACAACCAATGCTTTCGGGTTAGGCAACTAGCAGACCACATATTAGCGCGGATAAATCTAGGAACACCAAAATCTATCATGACCATCATAAAAGGCTACGTAATTCCGTTCTCGAAAAAACCAAAGTAGATACATATGTTTGTACAATTGTAAATTGTATGTACATATGTTTGTACAATTGTAAATTGTATGTACATATGTACAATTTTTAGGTGTATAATTTTTCACGGCTGCTACCGCTCTGTCGTTCGTTGTATATTTTTTGATGAATCGGTAACACATAGATAGCTAAGCGTTTATATGTGTCGCTTGCGAGCCGTGGGTTACAATCGCACATGGATCAACTATGTTACCTATTCCGTTACAACCTACCAAAAGTCCACTGTTTGAACAAAGGCCTCCTCCTCGTATATCATATTTGTCGTAGTTGCCACGAGAATTGTTTTGCCATTCCTCTTCATTATTTTTCTTAGAATTTGAAGTGACAAACGAACTGACTGACAGTCCACGTGGTGGTAAGTGACTACTGCAGCGAATGGACACATAAATCAATTTGCATTATAAAGATAGAATACTTGACAGCCTGCAATTATACTTATTTTCTTTACCTGTCAGACCCAGTTAACACTGCTGTGTTTCGTATGGTGAGTGTAGAGAACCGGAGACCCTTTTTACTGGAAATGAGGCATTCCATCTTAGTCCTCACGGGTGACAACGCATCTGCATTTTGATTTGTGATAGAGGATAGATGTAGATGTCTATGGACCGCAGCAACCACTTACCATCAGTGAGACTGTGTGCTCGTTTGTCAGCTCTATCCTATAAAAAATAGAATGTTAACACGTGTATCCTTCAAAATGTGACATATTCAGCTTTAGATGATTATCAAAGTATTATCTAAAAAAAGTATTATTAAAGTATTTTATTACGAAAGTGAGAAGTTCGGCTACATTTTTGATTGGGCTTAAGTGTTTTGCGTTTTTGAATTATTTCGTATATTTATTAAACAAAACGAAACAAATAAAAAAATCCTCATATTTTATTACAAATAAAATATATCACTTCTGACGCTGCTTTCATCTGTGCGCGAAGTTTTATCGCAACCGGTTCAGCCATTCCGATATTAGCCCGTACAGACAGATAGATAGATAAATAGCAAAGAAATAATAAAAATAACATGCAAATAATCCCCTGAGCATAATGAATCTCATAGTCGATTTCGATATTACAGACAAACACTTATATTTTATTTCTATGTATAGATTGAAAATAGTTGTAGAGGTTTATGGGCTAAACACCCACTACCAACAGTTGGATTATGTGCACGTTTGGAATTTAATCCCTTAAAAATATATCCTTTTCCAGTGGTCAGTTGGATCTCACGGCGCCATGTGTCCCTGCTGCTGAAGGGCGACGTCAGCGCTGGAGATGGAGTGGTCGGGAATCGTTTCTAAGAGCGCCACGTGTGCCTTGGTGGTATAACGACAGCGTAGCCGGGTAAAAATACAATTTGTTTGGCCACTCAATTACAAAAAAGGCTCCATATTTTATTTGCCAAACGCCAAACGATGAAATGAATGATGAAATGAAATGAATAAAAATATGATGAAGACAACGCAAAGTTGTTAACTTCATCATCTTGTATCAGTCCACACTGCTGCACATATTTATAATAATATAATAATAATAAAGTCTTTATTTATCTTCTCACATAACATAAAGTAAAACAATGTAAATCTAGTAGTACATAAACAGAATTTTATTATGTGAGAAGCTGGTGCCTGAAGTAGGCATATATAAGCCTGTAGTACAAGTCACCAGGTTCTCACCCCTCGAATGTTATGACATTGTATGAAATTATTCTAGGAATACAATAGATAGATAAAAAAAGTTATTCGTGTGCGTGTGCGTGTGCGTGTGCGTGTGCGTGTGCGTGTGCGTGTGCGTGTGCGTGTGCGTGTGCGTGTGCGTGAGCGTGTGCGTGTGCGCGTGCGCGTGCGTGTGTGTGTGTGTGTGTGTGTGTGTACATTATATTTATCTTGATAGGAGCGATTCCGTTAAATCATAATCTAATTTCAGTAACCAGTCACGTACGTATTTTCTGCAATCATATTTATTGTTAGAATATATAGATAATTTTTCATTTATTTTATTGTATAAGAATCCACCCAAGTAGCAAAAGAATTTTTTTGTATATGTCTTCTTTGTTGCAAATGTTGCGCAATCTATTTTTTTACGTCTAACTCCTACAAATTTAAGGGGATCATAGGTATTTCCACTGTGTTGCTTCAACAATGTATAGAGAATAAACAGCTGACGTACCGTTAGTACCTGCCAGTATCGATAAAGAAGTTCAGTTGGATGTCTATAAGAGAAGAACCCGCAAACTTTTAAAATGGCCCTTTGTGATATTTCTACGCGCTTCATAATTGTTTTAGGAGCACCGCCCCAGGAGGTGATGCAATAAGTAAGAAGGCTTTGCGCTAGGGCATAGTAAATACGTGTTAAAGCTGTTTTATCTAGCACATGGCTTACATTTTTGAATATGTATATTAATTTAGATAGTCTATTGGATAATAATTCGATATGATTTTTAAAAGAAAGGTTGGAATCTATTATTACACCAAGATACTTAATGTTATGGACTAATTCTATTTTGTTACATTTACATGATTTAATATTAATATTTGAGAGATATTTGTGTGAGATCAGAGGTTTATTGATAATATGATCAAGGCATTCTTTACGTATTGTGAAAGCAATGTATTTGGTTTTTTCAGCATTCAAGGTAAGAAAATTAGTTTGCAACCATTCATTTATCAAATTAAGTCCCATCTGCGCAGCATCCTGAACAGTTTCCCAGGAATTTGTAGAAAAAAGAAGGCATGTGTCATCAGCATATGATATTATATGTCCATAAGGAAGCTAAATAGAAGTGAGATCGTTTATATAGACGAGAAATAATGTGGGACCTAGAATGCTTCCTTGGGGCACACCGTAGGAAATTAAAGCCTCGTGACTAATGTAATCTCCGATTTTAGTGCATTGTGTTCTATTACAGAGATAATCTTTAAATAGAGCAATCGACAAAAAATGAGATTGACTTCATTATGACGACCAGACGACAACTGTTCAGTGATGTCTCAGTGATCGCGAGGGTGAAAACCGGCAGCGATCACCGAATGGTTAGAGGCACACTGAACCTAAACGTTAAGTTGGAGAGGTCTCGTCTAATGAAGTCAACGCTCCGTCCCCCTCGTGCTCTAATCCAAAGTCCCGAAACCTTTCAGCTCGAGTTACAAAACCGTTTTCAGTGCCTAGAAGACTGCAATGAAGTGGACGATTTGAATGACAAGCTCGTGGAAACTGTCCATGCGGTCGGAGCTAAGTTCTGCAAGACCCGCCGCAGAAGAACACAAAAACTCTCCGATCACACTCTTAATCTCATGGCTGTTAGACGGGAGATGAAGCTACATTCTTCAACAGATTTAACAGCATACAGGCAACTGAACAGACAGATCTCCAAATGCATGCGGCGGGACTTACGCAAATTCAATACAGCTCGTATTGAAGAAGCGATCGAGCGGAACCAAGGCTCCAAAGTCTTTGCCAGAGATCTGTCTGCCAGAAAGCGCCAACTGTCAAAGCTGAAGACAGAATGTGGCAGCATCGTTTCCGGGGCACCTGAGATTTTGAGTGAGATTGAGAGGTTCTATGGGCAGCTGTACACGTCATCGTTGGAGCCGCACGCAAGTGTGAGTAACGATCCAAGAGCGAGTCTTATCCGACATTATTCCGATGATATCCCGGACGTCAGTCTGAGCGAGATTAGAATGGCTCTCCAGCACCTTAAAAACGGCAAGGCCCCAGGCGAGGATGGAATTACAGCGGAGCTTCTGAAAGCGGGTGGAAAACCGGTACTTGAAGTCCTTCAGAAGCTCTTTAATTCCGTCCTTCATGGTGGCATTACACCGGAGGCGTGGAGCAGAAGTGCGGTGGTCTTGTTCTTCAAGAAAGGCGACAACGCTCTCTTGAAGAACTACAGACCGATTTCCCTTCTGAGCCGCGTCTACGTGCTGTTTTCGAGAGTCATTACGAATCGTCTCGCGCGCAGACTTGACGACTTCCAGCCTCCCGAACAAGCCGGTTTCCGAAAAGGCTTTAGCACCATAGACCACATACATACCCTTCGGCAAATTGTACAGAAGTCCGAGGAGTACAATTTGCCACTATGTCTGGCGTATGTGGACTATGAGAAAGCCTTTGATTCCGTCGAAATTTGGGCGGTGCTGCAGTCCCTTCAGCGATGCCAAGTTGACTGTCGATATATCGAAGTGTTGAAGTGCTTGTACAGTAGGGCTACGATGGCTATCCGAGTACAGAACCAGAGCACGAAACCTATCCAATTGCAGAGAGGTGTAAGACAGGGTGACGTCATATCCCCGAAACTCTTTACCGCTGCATTGGAAGATGTTTTCAAGCTTCTGGACTGGAAAGGATACGGTATCAACATCAATGGCGAGTACATCACTCACCTTCGATTTGCCGACGATATAGTCCTTATGGCAGAATCGCTGGAGGACCTAAGCACTATGCTCAATGACCTCAATAGTGTTTCCCAACGGATAGGTCTTAAGATGAACATGGACAAAACAAAGATCATGTTTAATGTCCATGTCACACCTATGCCGGTAGTTGTTGGGAACACTAAGCTCGAAGTTGTTGACGAGTATGTTTACCTGGGACAAATAGTCCGACTAGGTAAGTCCAACTTCGACCGAGAGGTCAATCGACGGATTCAACTCGGTTGGGCAGCGTTCGGGAAATTACGGCACATCTTCTCGTCAGGTATACCTCAAAACTTGAAAACGAGACTGTACACCCAGTGCGTGTTGCCAGTGATGACATACGGAACTGAGACGTGGTCCTTCACTGCTGGCCGGATGAGGAAGCTCAAGGTCGCTCAGCGAGCTATGGAGAGGGCTATGCTCGGAGTTTCTCTGCGTGATAAACTCAGAAATGAGGATATCCGCAGTAGAACTAGAGTGACCGACATAGCCCAACGGATTAGTAAGCTGAAGTGGCAATGGGCCGGCCATATAGCTCGAAGAACCGACAACCGATGGGGAAGAAAGGTTCTCGAGTGGCAGCCTCGTACCGGCAGGCGAAGTGTAGGGCGTCCCCCCACTAGATGGAGTGACGACCTGGTAAGATATGCAGGAAGTCGATGGATGCAGGTGGCTCAGGACCGTGCTTTGTGGCATTCTTTGGGGGAGGCCTATGTTCAGCAGTGGACTTGTGAAGGGCTGTAATGTAATGTAATGTAATACCACATAATTCCAACTTTTCTATTAGAATGCAGGTAGAAACAGTGTCAAACGCCTAGGCGAGATCCAAAAAAATTCCAATGACTTTGTTATTTTTGTCCAAATTTCTAACTACGTAATCTGTTAAGTCATGCACTGCTTCATCAGTGGATCTGCCCTGCCGAAAACCAAACTGGTTAAGGGATAGTACTTTTTTACTTTCTAAGTAGTTCGTGAGTTGTTTGTTTATAATTCGTTCGATTATTTTCGAAAAACATGGAAGAATTGAAATCGGTCGATAGTTGCCGACATTATCTCTGTCTCCAGATTTATAAATTGGACGAATAATAGACCGTTTAAAAACTTGAGGAAATACACCTTCTTTAAAGCAAAGGTTACATATATATGTCAATGGCCCAACAATATATTCTTTAATGTTTTTTATGAAACAGTTAGAGATATTGTCCCATCCATTGGCACATTTGTTTTTTAGGCTCATGATAAGTCTGGAAACTTCTTCTTCGTCAGTGTTGAGTATTACAAAGGACGACGTACAGTTCCGTGTTGGTCTAATTGCTAAAGAACTTGTAACCCTTTCCTTAACTGCAATATTATCAGCAAGTTGTTTACCTATATTCACAAAATAACTATTAATTGAATTAATAGCCTCTTGAGGTTTCTTGGCGCTGCTAAGCAGTTCAGTAGAATCAGTTTTCATTTTCGTGGTATTTGTTATCTCTTTAATGGTTTCCCAAAGCTCTTTATAATCTTTACCTTCTTTACTAACTTTATCTCTATAATAAGCCATTTTAACTTTTTTAATCATGGAGTTACAATAATTTCAATATCTTGTATATGTTAATTTTATGAAATTATTGCCAGGTAAAGATTTATATTTTTTAAATAAATTATCACGATTTCGTATACATTTTAAAATTCCTAATGTAATCCAGGGTTTTATAGGTCTTAAACGGTTCGAGATTATAACTTTAATTGTATTCGCTATCAATAATTGTTGTAAATATGATACAAAAAGTGTAGCAGCCTCATTTGCGTTAGAACATTTGAATACAAATTCAAAGTTATTTTGTTCTAATTCTAATCTAACTTTGTCGTAATCAATTTTTGTTTGAGTTCTAGATGTTAAATTATTTTTTTGCTTGGTGTTTAAACATAATATCACAGCCTGAT